CTAAGAACCGGGCCCGTATAGGAAAAATTAGGGGGGTTTGGGGGGAAAAAAAAGCAAATTTGGGGTGTGAGGGTATTTATAGAAAAAATTGGGGGGGAAAAAAAATTCAAAAAAATTCAAAAAAAAATAAATAACGGCCGGTTCACCCGGGCCGGTTCGGGCCGGTTCACCGGTCGTTATTCACTTTTTTTTGAATTTTTTTTTTTTTTTTTTTTTTTTAAATTCGGGTGAACCGCCGGGCCGGCCCGGCGGTTCACGGTTCACCAAATCTAAGAACCGGGCCCGTCCCGGGTAGGACGGGCCGGTTCACGGTTCCGGGCCGGTTCACACGGTCGACGGGCCGGTTTGGGCCGTCAACGGGCCGGTTCGGGCCGGTTCCGGGCCCAAAACCGGCCCGTGGCCGTGTCTAGGTGAAAGTATAAGACAATACATGGTTGAAGTGTGATTATAATTACCCAAACAAGAGGGTAGTTTTCATAATTTAATCTTACCATAGGGGGTTTGCCGTAATTTACGCTAAGAGATGAAACAAATCGGAAAATAGCAACCTACATCCAGAAGAACAAGAATCAGCGAACGAAATCTTCCCATTTCTTCTCAATTTATTAATATATCTCAAAGGTAAACAATCACTCTTTCCTTTACACATTATCTCTCCTCTGTGTGTGTGTGTGTGTGTGTTTTTGTGTGTGTTTGAGCTATGCTCAACACTTGTGTAACTTCAAAATTCTCACTAAGAAGAAGAGAATCACTTCCATTTTCAACAAATGAATACTCTTATTGCTCGATCGAAAGAAATCCGTTACCCTATTCATCATCGACGCCGTGTTGTTCGTGCTGTTCTTACCCAATGTACAAATCGCCCTTACCCCAAACCTATTGCTTCAATTTGTACGGATTGAGGCAATCCTCTTTAATTCAGTGGTCGCCTTACAGAAAATTGATTCCGGGCGGTTTCGATCGGTGCAATTATGCCCGATTGCCGTTTCGCGATGTTGATAGAAGTTGTTATTGTGATAAAGTTTGCAATTTTAGGGATAGAAGTGTGGGTGTGAGAAAAGGGGGAATGGTGAAGCGTTTGGTGTACGAGGAGAGGAGTGATTTTGGGGGTTTGGATGAGGCTGAGGCTGTACTTAGTTTGCTTACGGAGGATTTTGACGAGGAGTGTTTTCGTGTGAGTAAGGAAACTAGACGATTTGTGAAGAAACCGTTGGTGGAGAAGAGAGAGAATGGTGGGGGTAAGAAGAAGAGCAGAGTTGTTGAGATTGATGATGACGTGGAGAGTGAGCGTAGGTGTGAGTGTGGATCGGTGGTTAGGTCGAGGATGAAGGATAGTAGGAGAGAGGAGATTATTCGGAGGAGAGTAGAGAATGAGGATCTATTGAGGGAAGAAGTGGTGTTACAGGAGCAGCTTAAGATTGCTTCGAAGAATCGAACGGCGAGAGAAAAGGAAGGGAGGGAGGCTTTGTTGTTGAGAAAAACGAACCGAAAGTTTGAGGAGAAGGAAGAGAGGGAATCTACGTCGAGAAAAGATAATAGGAAGGTGAGTTCGAGAACGGAAGAGAGAGAAGATTTGTTGAGGAGAGAGGAGCAGAGGCAGAAGGTGAGGAAAGATGGATCGAGTTGCTCTTCGTACTACTCCGTGTCTTCGACTGGTGATGTTGACAGTGAGAACGAGATTGAGAATGAGAATGAGAACTCGTTGAGTGTTCGTAAAAGTAACTCGAGAAGAAATGAGATGGTTTACCGGGATTCTAGGGAAGAGGATAAAAGGCATGAGGATTATAGAGAAGAGTATGGGGCTAGTTTGACGAAGAAAAACACAGAAAAAGAATTCTATGGTGGATCGAGTGTAGTTGAGTATGATCATAGAAAGAAATCGGAGAAGAGCTTTAACGATGTATCGGTGGAAGAGATGGAGTCTAGAAAAGAAAACTCGAGGAAGGAATCGAATTATTTCGTCGGAACGTAGAAATAATTATGAGAGGTTTGCTGATCATTATGTGAGCCATGATGACACAAAGGTAAAATTCGCTGAAGAGAGAAAACAAGAGCTCAGACAGACAGACGATGATGTTTCGAGGCGGTCTGAAACAAGAATAAAGTATAAACAACATGTGGAAACGCAAGATGCCCGAAGTGACGATTTTAGAGCTTCTTACGGCTCTCAAAAAGTATACGTTGGCAAAAACGAGATTTCTGCTAAAGTTGAAAATTCAAGTCAGCAAAGAGTTGGAGAACAGAAAGTAGCAGCTGGGCTTAGAACTAATAGAGAAGATGAGTATCGGAGAAATTCTCGCAAGATTTCTGAAATATCGGAAATTCAAGAAATTGATGTTACAAAGACTTCCGTTTCTCAGCAAACGTTTGAAACCAGTGTTAAGAAGGAAGACTACTCGTCCAGTGTTCTTAGTTCTGTTAATAATGCAGCAAAGCTTCAACAACAATATGGTCAAGTAAGTGGCCTCGTAGAGTCGAGCAGCTCCCAACAAATGAGCAAAAAAGATGGTAAGTCGAGTTTAAAGACGGAATCGGATAAACTTATTACACGAGAAGAGAGAGCCAAGTTAGCTTACGGATCATCTTTAGAATCCGACGAGAGACGCTCCCAGAGACATGCCAAAATTATCAAGAAAGATCATTCGATAAATGAATCTGATAAATCGACCAAAATATCAGTCACTCAATCTGAAAATTCTGGTGCAATTTATATAGTGGACACAAATAATACTAAATCGGATACACCAGTGAGAACTTCGTCTTATTTACCAGAAACAGGTCCGTTATCTCTAAGGCCGGAAGGTGAGATTGTTACTACTGATGGAAGTTTACAATTTGATTCTAATCTCGACGGATCTTTTGAGTTTCATCATGGGGTATCTGGTGGGGCCGGAAGCAGTAGTTCTCAAGGACAGCCTTCAGAGTTCGTCTCACATAAAGATGCAATTGATTCTGCTGCTCGATTGGAGAAGTCCTCAGCACAGTATGTTGACCAGTTTGTTGACCATGTAAGGAACGAGGTTTTGAGTTCCGAAATCCAAAGGGAGAAGAAAACTTCCGAAACTAAATCTGTGCATGAGGAGATAACGCAATCGAAGAAGCACACCTTAAGTGGTGATGGACAGCTGTCTGGAGCAAAGGGCCCCGCAGATGAAATGTGGACTGTAAACGAACCATCTGTGCAGGATACCTCGAAGGTAAAAGTCCAGGATAATACAAGTGAAGCTGGCAATGCGATTGTGAAGAGAACTGGAAGGTCGTTATGGAACGTGTTTGCGGATATTGTTCGTTTGAGGTGGTCCCCGCATTCTGAAAGTCACAGCTCGGGGAGAAAAACGGGTGAGAGAAGTTCGCCCAATCAATCCACGAGTAGTGGAACTTGGTTTTCTGGTCAAGAAGCAGAGCAATATGAAGAGGGAACCGAAGAAAAGGAAGGGAGGAGTATTACACAAGGTTCATCTGGCAGCTATCGAGAAGAAAAAAAACCCGCCGAATCTATTGTCAAAGAGGGTTCCACCTCATCAACTTCAAATGAACCATCACCCTCAGTTGCTCCAGAAAGAGGTTCACAATCATTCCATGGTGGAGATATTTCTGACGGTGGTTTTACTGACACCTCTTCGGCTGTAATAATTGGTTCGTCGGTTCCTATACCTGCATTGAGGATGCGAAGATCGCCAGCTGTGCGAGGGGTTTCAGAAGGCGTAGAAGCGAATACACCTGGCAGTGGCGTGAGTGAGCCGTTAAATACTGGACAGGTGGACCAATCAGAACCGTCGGTTAGCGAAGGGGAGCTGAAACGAAGGAAACTTCTGCGAAAAGACCAAGTCGTGAAAGATAGGTTCGATGAATGGGAAGAAGCGTATACGATTGAAGCAGAGCAGCGAAAAACTGACGAAACGTTTATGAGAGAAGCACTTTTGGAAGCACAAAAAGCTGCTGACATGTGGGAGGTGCCGGTGGGGGCTGTTTTAGTGCACAACGGAGAGATAATTGCCCGTGGCTACAATCTGTAAGCAGTAGTGGTATTTTTGTAATATTTTCCTTATTAACGAGAGTTAGTTGTTACATATTCATTACCGTGAATATTTCAGGGTAGAAGAGCTGCGTGACTCAACTGCACATGCAGAGATTATATGCATAAGGGAAGCTTCAAACGCGCTCAAATCATGGAGGCTTTCGGTAATATCTTTGTCTCTGTTACATTTAACATGATTTATCTGGTTGTGAGGGTGTCTTGGTAAACAATCGCCTGGATTTAATTGGAAAATGGGATATAGTCGAAGTGCATATTTTCAGATTCTATTTGTTCCACGACTCGTCTAGTTAGGAATTGTACGTTGTCGTTCCCGTCTGGAGTGAGAGAATGAAAAGAATCCCGTTTTCTGTATTAAAAAAAGAAATCAATCACTGAAATATTTTCATCTACAGGAAACAACGCTCTATGTGACGCTCGAACCGTGTCCAATGTGTGCTGGAGCAATACTTCAAGCTAGAATAGATACTGTTGTATGGGGAGCTCCTAACAAGCTTCTCGGAGCTGACGGCAGCTGGATTAGGTAAGCCATAAAAAAAAAATAATAATAAACTTGGCTTAATCTAACTCATGTCGTAAAATGATTAACAAACATAAATCACAATTTGCAGGCTATTTCCGGGTGGTGGTGAAGGAAGCAGCTCCGAACAAAGTGACAAACCAGCTGCTCCGGTACATCCATTCCACCCTAAGATAATTATCAGGCGAGGAGTTTTGTCGAATGAATGTGCAGAGGCAATGCAGCAATTCTTTAAACGGAGGAGAAAGAAAGAAAAGAAACCCGAGATTCCGTCGTCTTCTTCTTCCACTACTTCGTCGACACCTCCTTCGTGCCTTCCAATCACACACCACCGTCCCTCCAAATTCTTGACGAAGATGCACAATGCCTTCCACATATTCTGCGTGTAAGCTATAATTACAGGAAGAATGCATTTCCCACTCTCTTCTTCACTGAAAAAAATCATCTTTGATTGTAATCATATTCTTGATAGTGAATTCTAGAGAGGTAATTTAATGGATTTCTGTTTTATTGATCAAGATTCGACACCAGATTCGGGTTTTTTTAGCCATTATCCGAGCTTTATTGAAAACCGTGTATCACTTTCCTAATTTCAGTTTCTGATTTTCAATTCCCAATCCCTTATCCCCAACCAATTACTGGCGGCGGCCGGAGGAGGTGGGTGGTGGTGGTCAAAATGGGTTGATAATAATATATAAAAGTAAATTACATCCACACCCCTGAGGCATGCTTAAATAATTTTAAGGTCTCTGTGGTATCGATAATTACACTCACCCTCTGAAATGTAGTTAGAAACTCTAGTGGGATAATGCATTGGATACGTTATTTCGATTGAGTTCTAACGGACTATTGGTTTCAGGAAGTGCTGGAGATAACAAAAAGTTATGGGTGATGTAAGAAATGTTGGGGGAGCCATGTCACCCCATAATTCTATGTTGTCTCCACCACTAGCTAAAAGTACTAGCCGTTAGAACACTATCGGAATAACGTATCCAATGCATTATCCCATTAGAGTTTTTAACTACGTTTCAGGGGGTGAGTGTAATTATCGATACCATAAGGACCTTAAAGTTATTTAAGCATACCTCAGGGGTGTGGTTATAATTTACCCTATATAAAATATAGCTTGAGGGATGAATCTGAAACATATTAAAATTTGAGAGGGTAGTTTAGTCTTTAAAACACCTCCGGATCTTGTCTGAGACTTGTACAATCTGATTCGAGAAAATTATGATTGGCCAATAAAACATGTCTTTTTTTTATTGTGTCTCCACAACTCAACTCTCTATCAACCTTGCTTGCATGTCTATAACTAGCTAAGCAATGCATTTTCCTTTACTCCAAAGGAAGTTAAGAAAAAGTCATTACATTTATTAATCACCAAAAAATAAAAATAATATATATATATATAAAACAATGTGACACTTTAAAAATGATAAATTGGCTGTTTAGGAATGAATGATTTGGTCTTAATCTAATATCATATGCACTAAACATTACAAGTTACAACACCAGTGACAGCAACACATGACCAGTTTAATACTAATCATAATGAATTTGATATGAAAATTACAATTTTGCCCTTATGACGTGTCACCAAACTTCGAAAGGAAAAAGAAAGCTTACTTTAGAGTTATAAATACTGGTGCAAGTTCTTGATCATTTCAAATCCTCTGCAAAACAATGGCAACTTTACTAACATGGGCTTGTCTTTCTTGCTTCTGCATTTCATTACTTGCCGTCAATGCACAACTATCTCCGGCAGCTTCACCTTCTAGTATACCGTTCATAGCTCCACCACCTACCACGGCGACACCACCATCACTCAGCCCCACAACATCTCCACCGCTTTCAAGCCCAACCATCAGCCCACCAATCGAAAGTCCAGCCCAGCCACCGCCATTGCCGCCTCCATCACCACCCGTTTCTCCACCGGCCCTACCACCATCTGTGCCGCCTCCACAAGCACCTGCCCCTGTGGTTCTTGCACCTGCACCTGTGGGGCCCACACCAGTGCCCGCTCCAGCACCAGCGCCGGGTAAACACAAGAAACGGAAGACCAAGCACAAACACCACCACGCACCAGCACCTGCACCGACTATTCAAAGCCCACCTGCACCACCTAAAGCTCAAGATACCGGTGAAACAACAACACCTGCACCTTCACCAACCATTAACTTGGTAAGAAACTGAAATTGTCTTTTTTTTTCTTTTAATACATAACAGTTAACTTATTACACACTATTCAATCAATCACAGAATGGAGCTGCATCGCTTGATCGGAGTGGAAGAATTAGAATGCAGGTGACAGCTGGATTGGCCTTAGCTACGTTTTTGTCCATCACTAGCTTCTCTTTGTAACTTCTCTACGATGGAGAAAAATTTGTACGGCATACAGAAGAGGATCAGAGCATGACTGCATTTTTTTAAACATTCGATATTCATTCTTTACCTCCAAATTTGTATTATCAGTGCAAAAAAATTATATAAAATTGTTTTATTTGTCGTACATCCTAGTCCTACATAGATATTTTCGTTGAACAAACAATGATCGTATATCGATTCTAAATTGTCTCTAGACTTCATTTGTAGTTGCATTCGAATCAGCTTCCTCGTGCAAGTTGTACTCTACCACAAGTCCAAGATTATCAACTAGCTTGTGGTACTGAGAACATCCTGAACACTGTTGAATAGAATATAGTCAGTTTATGGAAGATAAGATAAATTTACTGCACGAGAGGAAGACGAAGAATAACTCAAAAATACAAGAAAGAGAAAAAATAGAGCATAAATATTTGAAATCAGAAGGCTTATCTAAGCATCCAGCACAACATATTCATGATACATTGAGAAATATTTTATATCATGAGATCGGAAATGTAAAGTATTAGTCCCACAAGATTGATTCACGTGGTTAGGAGGCCAACTCCGATACTGCATACCTAATTATAGTGAATATGAAATATATTTTTTAAGTTCATTAGAGTCATAAACAGTGAAATCTTTATGACTATACTCTGTTAGTATAAATTTGGCTGCGTCAATGTAAGACGTTGATTAATGAATCCATGAAATCTAGATCTTAGATTCTCAGCAAATACGAAAGTAGGATGAAAGATCTGTGGTTTCTACTGAGCGGTCGAGAGAATTGCATATACAGATAGGCACTGGCAAAAATGGAGGTAAAAGAACACGACATCGTTAAACGACAAAATTATTTTTTGTGGGAGACACTAGTGAAGAATCATAGAAAGACTGATTGGTATCAAAGCATTACAGAACAGATCACAGATGAACATATTTATGAGCACACAAGGCAAATATAGGAAGAAGAGTAAAACGAATAGAGCAGTCAATAATTACCTGTACGTAAACCAGGCCACGCTCGTAAGCTAATCTATTTATTAGCCTTTGAGACCGGGTCCCACAAGAATCACATGTAAATGTTACTAACAAACTTCTTCTCGGGAGCTTAAGATCAATAGCAACTTCCTGTAAGCAAGAAAAACCAACGAGAAAAAGCCAATCACAAAAAAAATATAAGGCATTAAGATAGTACTTATTTAAAAGGTAAAAAAGGCACGCACTTCATACGTTAACTAATTATGCCAAGACCGTAAACATAGTTAAAAGAACTCAAGCAACTAATCCTATGAAATTTCGTACACCGATACAAGTTCCTCCATATTACAAAATCGTACGATCCAACTATACAGTTCGTCGATAAAGTGCATCCCGTAGTTTGTTTGTTTGTTTGTTAATGCACTTACAGATTAAAATTCATGATTAACAAGCCAGGCATATTCTAAAATCCCGCAGCCAATTAACAACAGAGTCGTCGTGAATAATAAAACAATAACCGTGATGTCAAACGAGCATATGTACGGGGAATTTACTGACGATTCTAGTTCAAATAAAAAACCAAGATTAGAGTGAAAAATATACATTGTTCGAAGAAGAGGGCTGCTCTGTTTCTGGGTGTTCTTCAACACTATCTTCCAGCAGACATGAAATCCTAGAAACCCTAAGACATTGCTTCGGCGCCTCATTACTTCTGTAAGAAATCCTCAACCTGCTAACAAGAGTTACTAAAATTAACAAAAACACACAACAAACTCAAATAACACCACCTCAAATTGACTGGCATTTTTTTTACTGGATTTAAGAAATTAAAATAAATAAACACGGAACCCAGATGAACAGAATGCGAATTGAAATATAGAGAGACCTGGGTAGCGAAAAGGGTTTGCAATTGGCGCCAAAATTAGGTCTGAGGAATTGGGAACAGGGTAGAGAAGAAATTGGGGATTTGATTTTGACGTGGGCGCTGGCCGTAGAGCAGAGAGAATAATCGAAGCCGAGAATTCTGCAGCTGTTGATTGCATTCATTTTTATACAGCGAGAGAAAATTGAGCAGAGCTATAAAACGGCGTCGTCTTCTTCTTTTCGTTCCAAGCTTCTGGACTGAACTCTTGGATTCCTGTATCCTGATAGGTTGGCCGTGAGTATCAAATATTAAAAATTTAATCAGTAAATTTTATAATTGTAAAAATGTGAGAATTATACTTTTCGCCCCTCGTGGTTTACCTGATTCCACTTTTAGTCCCCATTGTTCCAGAGTGAACAAAGTACATCCCAAAAGTTCAATTTTAAGCATATTTAGTCCTTTCCGTCAAATGTCCGTTCACAACTAACGGAAAACAAAATTTTGGGGCTAAAATTGAAAATAAAGATTATTTAGGGAGTAGAAAATAATATAATTTTAGCTATTATTTTATCTTTGTTTTATACATAAAATCTGTAGTTTATTTGAGCATATTAATTTCTATTTAATTTTTAATTATTTTATAGGTTTCAATAGTCAATAGATATTAGTTTATTTAGTTGTAGTTTAAGTTTAGTGACATGTTTATTTTATTAACAAAACGAATATACATCTACAGGTTATATATATTAAAAAATAAATCAATCAATCAAAAAAAAAATAACCAGGTTGCAATATATATATATATATATATATATATATATATATATATATAGGTTTGTATGTATAAAAACATATATAGAAATAATCATAAGTTAAGACACAAATTTGTTGTCAACAATAAGAAGAAAAACAATCTGGTTCTGAGATGAACAACAATAATATAATCATATACATTTCACTCGATTTCAGTTTTTGTGCTACAATATGTAACTCGACCGAGGAGAATATGTCGAAACACTTGTGTGAAAATCAAATTCAACTTTTTCCCCAAACCAGAAAGCTGCTGCCGCTGCTTATATCACACTCACCTTACGACATTTCTCGAAAACGGGCAATGGCCTTTTTGTGAATAACAGCTTTGTAGCTATCTCCAGCCTGCACCTCCAAATCTCTATCGACTTTCTTCGGCTGATGGCTTCCAAGCCCAGCTCTCGTCTCTATGGCCTGGGCTTGAACGGGCTCCACCATTCCACTCCCGTGTTTTCCTAATCCCTGTAAATGGACCCCACCACAAACAACACAAACAAAATTCCGCCAAAACAAAAGTCAGATCAAGATTCATGCACGTTCCAAGTATTGGTTCTTGATGGCCAACTTATTCATCCATGTTATCTCAACAGAGCATATACCAACAAGAGATCACATCAGTTGATCACACGGAAGTGTCATTATAAACTTGATTTGCGGAAGATTAAGTTCAGTTTTGATACAATTCCACCTCTACAAACTCATTCCAGGAAGAAACGGAAGTTAATTAAGGATAGGATACTCCATAACCAACTTTTATCGAGTCAGTTATTTAGTTTCCGTTATTCCCTGGTTTTCGGAAATTAGTGTTCGGTTAGTTTAGTATAAGTAGTTAGTATCTGTTCAGTTTTTAGGAGGATTTGAGTTAGAAACTGTTGTATACGTATGGCGCCTTGTCCTATCCATACGGACAAATTTCTACGGTATACTATTGTGTTTAAGATTTTTGCACATAATCTGCCATTATTGTTTATCATTCTCTTGTGGTGTTCTCTGTTTATCATTGGATTTGCATAAACCAAAAAGAGAAGTATATGAAAGTGCAGGGTTTAGAGATGGTACCAAGCCTTCTTGCCAGCCCATGCTGCGGAGCATCCGATTGCCCACGTTTTTCTCGTCAATTGCTTTGTCTGCTGTGATGACATCGTAACTCTGAGCAATTGCATCACCACTGCTTCGCCCACCACCAACCCCAGGAGGGAATGGCATGGAGTCCACAGCACTTCTTCTCGATGTAGAATCTCGATCTTGAAGTCAACCACACAAACACATTATCACGAATCAATACAGAATCCATAGAAAAATAAACTATCCTTCTGAATTTTAAACATAATTGCAGTTCCAACTATTGACTATCAAACAACTTAATTTAGTCCAGTCCCAGAATCATACAGCCACGAAATTTGTCTGAAATAAAAAATATAATACCACGAGAAGAACAATATTTAAAAGTGGCATGTAACAGAAAGCAAGGAATGCTTACTTGAATCTCCAGTTCCAGCATTTGATGATTCGTCAACAAAAGCTGACGATGAACCATATAGACTTCTTCTCTCTGCCGCACGATCTCTATATGTAGTTTGGGATTGTTCTTTATTTGCAATGGAGGTGGCCGGCATCTCGGAAAACCTTCGTTTACCACTTCCGGTAGAAGCAGATTGTGCATAGGAACCTAATGCAGATGCATCTGTTCTGAATGGCATCACCGTATTTGAAGCCTCTGTGAATGCGAGCGAAGAAGATCCTGCAGAAGATGTTGTACTAAAGGATGAAGTGGTAGTACCTTCCCATTGTCCTGCATAAACAGTATCCGATTTCACCACCCCCATTCCAGAACCCCTAATTACTCCTTTCAAAGTCCCCCCAGAACTGGAAACTATAGGCCTTGCCCTGTCATGGGATTCCAAAACAGTAGATTCTGCCGAAGCTATAGTGTTTTCCTTTGTTGCCTTGCTCTTCGTGGGGTTAGATCTCTCTTCAACAGACTGGCTATCCTCAAGAGCGACACGTGGCGCTTGACCTTCGTGACTTCTTTGCTTCCACATGGTTAAGACATTGTTCATCTTCTTCTTGTTAGCTAGAATGCTGCTTTTAGAGGCGAGTTTTATTTCCTTCAGTTTTTCCTTCTCTTTCTTCTCAGCAGCTATTGCTGCTGCCGCAGCAGCCTGGACAGCGTCCGGTAACGAAGCAGATTTTTCACTTGATGATACTGTAGCAGCTGGTGCAGATATAACAACTTTTCTATTATTTGGACCATCCGATGCCTTGGAAGTTTCACTTTGCTTTTCAGCTGTCTTGCCATTCTGGTCGGTGCAAGGGATATACTGCTGTGTGTGTTGATCATAAGTATACCAGAGTCCATTATTGCCATCATAATATAAACCTGCAGCGTAGATATTGCAAAAATTAACTCTCAGAGAAAGGAAAAATTAACCATCTTCTTCACCATTTGGCAATCCATTGATGCTTAAATAATTCAAATTATACACCAAAAATATAGAAGTCCTACAGAAAACAAACAATAGTTGGAAACCTGTATTTCCGTCGTAGTAAAACCCAGATGAAGCATCAAAATAATAACCAGAGGCTTCGTCCCACACAAAACCAACTTGTGGAGCAGAAGGATCTGTTTGGCCGGCGACTTGTCCATCTTTCTCTTGAACACCACTGGATTGGTTATCCTCATTGTACTCTTTTGGTGCCCAACCAACTGCATCATACTAAAAGATGCACAGAAAAATAAAATCCATTATATACTCGCATTAGAGCAAAAAAGTAATAACCACTAATTATCGATATCAGGATAGTAAAATTAAATAGCCCCTGAGAACTTGAACATTCTTATTAGCACACCATAAAGCATGTTAAAAGTGAAAAGTAAGGAAACTGATTACATCAAAATCTGGCTAGCAATAGCATTGTAGGTCGTGTACCAATTCACTAAGTTTATCCAAAAATAAAAAAACATCCATCATTCTCAGACAATTCTATTCGTATAAGTGATGGACATTCAATGTATGTGTGCTGAGGAACTATCAACTGTTCATAGGAGCAGCAGCACGCACATAGAGAAGTGAGAACATATGTCAACAGAGAAATACTGATTATTGTGCAAGAATACAGAAAGTGAATTTGACATACTATAGAATCTGTATTATACTCAAAGGGACTTCTACTATCATTCAATCATGGGTTATTAGCACTTCGAAGCAAAACAACAGAAAAAATATTTGCTTGGGACACATCAGTCAAGACCACCACATGTTAAGGGAGAAAAGCTAGACAGGAAACCTGCTGAGCAAATGTTGCCGCTTCAATTGCAGCAGCAGCAAGACTGCTCGATTGAGAAGCTCCTGAGACTGCTGATCCAGGTCCAATAATACTTTTGGCATAAGCAACTCGAAGAACCTGACCATTCTTCTCCAAAGTGGTACCATTTGTCACTTCAAGTGCTTTAGTTGCATCCTCAACCTGAAACAGGAGTATGCATAACCATCATAAGTTATCAATATAATTAACAACCCTGTACAAGAAGAATAGCCCAGACAACCAAATATATATCCAACATTTTTTAACTATTTTGCATGGATAATCAATAGGGAGTTGATCTTACCGAATGGAAATGAACAAATGCAAATCCTCTTGAGACATGTGTGAATTTGTCTCTAACAAGTCGCAAATCCTGCAATGTTTGAGAGTATTATACATCCTGAATAGTAGACTAACAAACAACGGATAGAAGAAAAATGTTGCACCTTAATAGGAGCATGTTTTGAAAATTCATAGCGAAGCATTTCCTCATCAGCATTTTCATCCAATCCACGAACAACAAGAACATGGGTGGGACCTGAAGCATATCCAATGTAAGTTCCTCTAAACATAAGCCATGCTGGCTGATGAAATTGCTGCAAGCTTAAACTAACCTGCTTCTCCTCTCTTGCCACTAGTACTAGGATTGGATGATGCCATATCAGCTGCAGGAGCATCTTCTGTTTTCGGCTCATTACACTAATTGAAGAAATGGAAAAAAAAGAACCCAATAAATAGACAAAGTCAGTGTCTATATACTGAGAAACAAGGATATTAAGAGTTAAAATAAGAGAACAATGCTCGTCAACTTGCAACACATAGTACATTGAGAAGATCTTGATGAGACAAAACTTAGAAATTAGAACACCAATCCTGCACATACACCCATCACTTTTTTTTCCAAAAGGGATAGACAAATTTATTGTGACTGTTGATTTTGCTAACAAGAATGTACTTGTCGAAGGAGATGTTAGTCAGAAAGTAGAAACTTCACAGAAATTGGGGAGAGAAACTAAACCTGAAAACAGGACGTTCTCCGTGCAAAATTGACACATCCGCATATGATGCACATCCAATCAGAAGGCACCATGATACTTCTGTGGCTACCATGGCCTGATCTTGATGCACCATCCATTCCAAGAGATCCAGTAGCTGACCCCGTTGGTTTACTACTGCAACAAAAGTCTAAGTTTACAATGACATTCGCTGATATTTTATTCACTGACAAACTTATTCGGCAGATTTTACTTCAGATTCAACATTAACTTATCAAATGCAGAAAATGTGCATTCGGGCCATGATGAACATATAGGAATAGAAATATCAAGCACATAGAATTTGTAAGAATCAATAAAATGATGGTAGGCCCCATTCCAATTGCTTAAGGAGAAAAGATCAAACTCACGACGGACAAACAAGATAGAGTAGGGTTCATCTATCTTTTCAATCTACCAACTAATTATTTTGCATTATTCAGAGAAGGGTAAGATGCACTACCAAATCAATCAAGTAAGTTGCCCTATTATGCAGCAGGAACAAAAATGAGGCGTATATACCTGTACTCAAAAAACAGCTTCCTACCATCCACAAGAAGACCTTCATGTCCAAGTTTATCCATCATTGCCTGTGCCGAATCCTGTTTTCCAAGAATGAACACCATTTTTTTATTTTTTTTTTATGAAATTTAACGACATAAAATATAAGAACATCATGCCAGTACTATCATACCACAGAAGGGAAATCAATAAAAGAAAATCCCCGAGAGGTGCCAGAATTTCGCTCTTTAATCACACGAACATGACGAAGGGGTCCCCATTCAGCCTGATGGAAAAATGAGAGTCATGCATCTTATAATAAAGGTGACAACTTAAAGTAACAACAGTCTTTCACCAAAATTTTAAGAAAAATGTGGATAGAAGAAGGGTTACAAGGATCTGATACAAATCTTCTTCGGTTGTCTTTTGAGAAAGGCCCTTTACCACAACAGTAGCAGAGGGAGCCTATAAAAAGACAGCAAATTGCTCAGTCAATTTATCAAGTAGAGCAGAAAATGGAGATCGGGGATGAATAAATTGAGCATACAACAGAATAATGGTCATGATGACGTCTTTCTTCACGATCTCTTCGCCTGTCACTTCTATCATAGCGACTGTCGTCGTAGCTGTCTTCCCTATGACTTCGACCATGACTTCTGCTTCGAGGAGATCTTGACCTTGCCCGATCATCACGAGAGTGAGAACGAGAATGTGAAGGAGAATGCTCGTGCCTTTTATAAGGACTTTCGCCCCTTTCCCGACTTAGCCCTCTTTTGTCCCATTCGCGGTCCCGAGATTCACGTCTTCTCCAGCTACCATCTCTCCTACCGCCTCTATCATAGTCTGAATCATAACTCTGTCTTCCATAATCATAATCCTTTTCACGGCTATCTTCCCTGCTTTGACGCGAACCACGAGATCTGTAGTCATAATCATCATATCCATAATCTTCACGGTCACGCCCTCCATATCTAGCAGGGCTGTCAATCCACGATCGCAATAGTTCTCAGTACAATAATAACTATTCTAGAATTTACCGTAATCCAGAAATGTGGCAAATCTCAATATGCTTATCAGCTTCACCAAAAGAATGGATTAAAGAATATGAAACTACATACGGTTTCTCATGCCGTCTATAATCCTTCTCGTAAGAATATTCTTCTTCATAGCTTCTCCTCCTTGTTTGAGGCCACATGCCAACTGATGATGGTGGTGGAGGGTAGTCATCCCTCTCCACTACGTCTCGGTGAAAACCTCCCCTCGGATAAACATTTTCCCTTGAGAACCTTTCATCTATAAACCTCCTTTCATCGTACGATCCACCGTCCCTGCCAAAAAAAGTTGAGGCAACGACCGATAGAAAGAAGTGAAAGGAACAGAAACAACTAACACATTTAATAAGCACAAAATACAACACAAGAAGTGCACAAGTATAGAAACCAGTAACAAGTGATTTTTCTTTTCTTTTTTTTCTTTTTTTTTTTTTTTTTGAGGGGGAGCTCTAATCTACTTTTGCTCACTTAACAAAAAAATTCAAAAAGGTGGTGACTTGAGATCCTTCGATTTAAACACCAAAATCAATCACGTTGATGGCAATGGGCATCCCCGTGTACTCACCGAAAGTTTGAATCATGAACTGCACCATACTCCTCCAAAGCCTGTGGATTCAAGAGAATAAGCTGAGTCAGCAAGTAATAATCATGGTAAATCTAGGCAAACGATTCCACATCCTCACTGTCCCATGGCTTCTCCCATATTCTTTAAGGAAGAGATGCCGGAAAAAATGAACAATCACATGAGCCTAAATTCTCGTATATCACCCCATATATGTGATGAAAAGTAAACCACAATTACGCTGTTATTTTCCCATCCTTGATGAGGACCATAGCGTCCAGGGTCCATGTTTCCTCGAACACTCAACCTTCTCCTTCCAAGCTCTTTCTAATGTTGAGAGGTTGTAGAAGCAATATGAATGAAACCTTTCCTGTAATTGATGAATAAACAGGAGTTACACCAGCATTAACCCATAAACATTCTTCATCAATTGGTTTCTCCTCTAATTGGCCCCCTCAGAATCAAACACTTCCAAAGAAGTCTGTCTTCAGACTCTCTTAACACATGAACTACCGGGGAGAAGTGGGTGAAGATGTGTGTGTCAGTGAAAATAATCTCTCAAAACAAAGTACAGATATGTTAAATACTAATTAGGATTATAAGAACATAATGTTGGTAGGCATGCAAAATCATATGAAGAAAGTAACAAGAAACATCTCATTTGACACTTCTAACAATGTCCGAACAAAACTTAATCATGGTCCAAGTACAGCTACTATTAATGGTATATCGAACTAAACTAGATAACTAGATAAGTAAACAACAAAAAATTCGAATATTGCACCTCCTCTCTATATGAAAAAGAAAGAAAAACTCAATGAATTGAATAAATATAATTGAAGTTAACAAGTCTATACTACATAAAAACTAAAAGTGAAGCAATTACATTTACCTGTGTGAAGTATTTATATGCAGCAAGTATTAAAAGTGAATGTAATAATACATTTTATTCATAAGATTGAAACTCATAATTCAGTACAGAAGCAGAGGTATAAAAATACACATATATCTTGTAAAACAACAGAAAACATCCATAGACATGAAACATCTTCAAGGACAATAAATTTGAAAATATATATATGAAACATACATTATATCTAGCTTGGACAGACCAAAATCTCCATTTAACATATACTTCAATTAAAAAAATAAAAGGGATAGAGAAAAAATCATTACAATCATATAGGATGTGCAATACAAATGTGGATGAAAAAATTCTGACAATACAAAACAAGGATAATTGTCCCAGAGGCTTATCAACCTACGATCATAGCTGGGCTACAATAATTCAAGGTCCTCACAATTATCCAAAGGTAAAAAATTTAAGATGCTCAATAATAGTAAGATGTTAATCAAAAATACTTGGAGAAATTGCTAAAATCAATGTTAATTCAGCCATCATGATTGTACCTCCATCACCTTACAATGTAATCTGTTGCCTTCGATAATATGGATGAAATTTCATAATCTATCGTATGAAGTGAATTCAGAGAATAACACAAACGCAAGCTTACACCAAGAATTTCGTCACTACTAGGCAATAAAATTTGAGAATCTACTATCTGGAAACACGCCCAGCAAAAACCGATGCCGATCAAGTGTCAAAATTCACAAAAGTCGAACTTTTTAACTGAGAAATCTCATACCTCGTCGAAGAAACAGAATTACTTTATCAATCACCAACGATCTTAGGCTACCGATTCGCGAATTTAGGGCTTGTGTTCAGCGTATTTGAAACGAATTTAGGGATTTTTGGAGATATGATTATTGTTTGCCCTAATTCCTTTCTGTTGTTAGCAAAATTGCAAACAGGGTAAAATAGGTTTTCTGGGCTTCTATTTTCTAAGCTTTTGTAGTATGCGGATTGCTGATTTTATCGGCCCAAAAAGTTGGGAAAAGACCATTCTAACCCTGTCTCGTTGAATAAATTATTTTAACAAATAATAAAGTAGTTTTGGTTTCCATGATAATTAATAAATGGAAAATATAAATACAGGATGGCTTTTAGTAAAAGCATGTCATTTTTTTTTTTTTCTTTAATGATAAATTATTTTTTTACAAAATGATAAAGTGTGTATTTTTAATAATAAAATTATAATATATCATTTTTTATATCTTGTAAAAATAACTATTTAATAAAAAAATACTTTTTATTAAAAAGAATAATATCTTGTAAAAAATAATTTATCATTTTTTTAATATCTTTATTTTACGAATATAAGTATATAAAAAAAGATTTAATTTTTTTCGGAGGGATATTTTTTTTTTGTACCAATGAGAAATAGTATATGAACTTTTTCCGGAGCACTAGTTCGTCTCGTAGCCACGGATTCTTGGAATTGAACTGAAGCAAACCCCAGTCCTTAACGAAATCCCAGTAGAGCTGATAAACGGTTGCGGAAGTCGACATGATCACGACTAAGCAAAGCCACCCGACGTTCTTTTCCCTCTCGTATGCCACTTTTGCCCCTGCTGCCAGCATGGCGGAGACGTATTTTCCTAGGTTCACTAGGTGGATTTTCTGCCCTTCGTCGAACCATCTTCGCGCACACTGATCATAATCGAAAGCCGACATTTTAATATGTATATATATATAGCAAATTCGATATTTTTTTTACGTTAAAAAAGAAATTGATTTAATTTAATTTAATTTAATTATATAAATAACAAACCTGCATGGCTCTCCAATAATAAGGTAGAAATGAAACTGCATAAGCCAAATCCCTATAGTATGTGTTTCGACTGCAATAATTGAAATCTTGCGTTTTGTAGCTCCCGGTTATGTAGTAGCACGCGATGTATTCCAAGTTTCTCAAAGTTGGAATCTGTTTCGTAATTCTCGATTAAAATATGCTATTTCGAAATTGTTTTTTACTAATTTATATTTGAGCTGATTAATTTAATTAATTACCTGGCTACAGAGCTGATCAGCCATGAAGAAATCGAGCATAACAACCTTGTACAAAGGCGATAGAACGATGTTTCTCATTACGGAAAGGAAATGGTAGCGGCTCGACTTGTAGATGATGTTGAAGGGGCAAATGAGAACTATAATAAACACCTGAAAAAAAAAAGATTCGATTTTTAAGTATACTAATGTAAGTAAATGTACATTTTAGGCGAAAAAGATTAATTTTTTTTACCAATAGAAGAAAGCCCGGAATGGCTTGAACTTGAGAATACGAGTACCCTTTTGCAACGAGAGATAAATGAAGAAATAATACACCGACTAGAGCAGTCATTGAAATGGTGCAAATCAAGAACACGTCTCGGTATTTGAGTTCTTTTGTCGGTGATAATTCGAAGATGAAGCTGTAATTTATTCGTGTTTTTCGCCACATGTAAATGTTGCATCCGTAGAGGAAGAAATGTAGAAATAATAGGCTGAACATGCTGAAAAAAAAAAATATTATATATAATATTAGTTTTTTGTTTTAGGGAAACTTCAAATATTTGTGTTGAAAATGAAAATATTTTTCTTGCTAAAAAAAAGGCGAGCACTTGCCTTAGGAACGGGTATACCGTTTCCATGTACACTGTATCGGAACTAGATCGATACATTCCCGTAATATGAGCCATGATTACGTATCCGACGAAAAGTGCAATGAAGCACCCAGCGAATAATCCTGTTTTTTCCGGAAAAAAATAAATTATTTAGACCAAAAATTCAGTTTCGATCATTTGCTTCAAATAATAGTTATCTAATCTTAATTATGTCCGAAAATCGACCAAATTTTTCGACCATTTTAAGGTTTTGATAGTTAGATACTCTGTTTCTTGATTTCAATTATTAAACTCAACTCCAAAAAAGTGAATCTTTTGATCTTGATTTATTTATTATCTACTTTTTCCCACTAGAATTATTTAATCTCTCAAAAAGGGTAAACTAATTTTGATTATTATCTTCACAAATCTTCTTTATTAGACTATAATGCAGATCTTGAATTATTTTATTGCATGAAACTAACCAATGAAAAATGTAACGGCGTGCGATTCTTTTCGATGAGTCGGTTTAAGGTACTTCATCGCCTTCCGTTTATTGTCTTCGGCGAAATGCTTGACAAAGATTTCCTCAACTTCATCTGCTAGCTTCAAAGCCTGTCATAATAGTGAAAGCTGTTAACTTTATGCCAAAAATTTTCATAAGTGTGAGACAAACAAATCTTGAAATTATTTTTATTTTATTTTTATTTATTATTATTTTTATTTTATTTTTTGCAAACCACTTTAAACTGTCTGAGAAAAAATTATCTATCATGGGATATGTGTCTGTTACCCCACATCCAATCATCTTCCAATCACAAATACCATGAAAAAAGATGTTCTTGCACCATTATTTCCCTTTCTTTCTTACAAGATATTTTACACACACAAAAAAAAAAAAAAAAAAAAAAGAGTTCATTTTTTTAAAATTACCTTGTCTGAACTGTTGAAGAATGAGCTCTCAACCACTCTTAAGTAAATTGGAGAAACTTGTTTACCAGTCACCTGAAAATCGATTAAACCGAAAATAAAGATCTCTCTTTTACGATGACGAAAAAACAAGAAATTAATCGGTCGAATAATCGTAAACTTACTTTGTCGAATTTCTTCAAAATCTTCACAAAAGCAAGCATGTTCAGGTTCCTGAGGCAATTTCAGACAACATTATAAGTAACAAAGTTTATATTTTTTTCCCAAAAGGGTAACGAAATAACAAAAAAACCGATCATATATACCGATAAGTTTTGAGGTACCCTAATCCTTTATAAAGCTCAACAAAAGCACCCCGAATCATTTTCTCTGCATGATGAAGCTTCTTCTTATTGATAAGCAATTTATTCGCCTCGGGCCCACATTTCTTCGAAGAGGCTTGATTACTCTTCAAATCATCCCTTAGCAAATAAGTGATAGCGGAAAAAGCACGTGTCGGATTCGTTAGAGGAATGTGAATTCTCAAGTTTCTCCCTTGGCGGTTAACCACATCATCCTTCTTGATCCTCAACGACCGAGGAGATTTCGGTAATTTCACATCATCTTTGTCAAGTTCTCCACTTAAACCCTCCACCCCCTCCTCTGCATCTATAGCATCCTTAATCGACTCTTCGTCTATTCGCAAACACAAACAACAATTCATGAGTAATAATATGCTTAAAGATTCTACCTTTTATTTTAAATATAATTTACTTAAAAATTTGATTTCGTACCGCAAGATATGGTGCCTGAAATCGAGTCCTCCTCTTTCGAGTCATTAGAAGGAGTCCCTTTTGCACGTTTTTGATTCAACGAGGTTTTGAGCTCGACGAGAATATCCATTTGCTTCTTCAAAGATTCTCCCCTATCGAGAAACTCCTTCTCTTTATTTCTGTAAAATTGGTTCACTTTGTTTAGCTGAAGATCCAAGCATGCAAAGAACTCAACTGCTGCATCAGTGTCAGCAAACTGCTCGAGCAGCTCAGTCTCGTACAAGTCACCCGTACTTGCTGACGTGGCGAGCTTACGATGAACCTAAGATACGTAAGAAAAAAAAATATTCAAGTGAAAAAGTGTGAATTAAAATCATTCATGACAGGGATTGAACATGGGGGGTTGGAAATTACTTGAATGACCCTCGGTTCTCTCTGCTTATGATCAAGAAAAACGTATTTCCTCAACGAAGAAACGAGGCTTTTCGCGAAGGAAGTCTTGTTTTTATCGGTATTAGTGGTTGGATTGTTGAGGAAATGGATTTTCTTGATGTCCTTTTTCAGCTGGCAATAATCCACAAAGGCTTCTTTCCATTCCGGAACTAATTGACCCTCGAACTGCTTCGAGAATTTCACCATATCTTTGCGTTAAAGATAAAAATAAAAATAATCGAAAAAAAAACAGGGTTGTCCTAAAAACGAAGGCTTTGTCTCTCGTCGATTTTTTTTTTTGTGAGTGTTCGAATGGAGAGGACTGAAAGATCACATTATTTATGGAGGGTAAGGGAATTTTTTTTCGGTCACTTATGCTCGACAGCACATTCTCTTACATGTATCTTTATCCTATGCTCATTCCACTTGTTTGAAGGTATAATCGTGTTTTTTTTTCTTTTCGTTCGATCGATCGTCAGGGAATTTGAATCGAACAATAAGCGATTTTGCAGCCTACTTATTTTTCGAATATTAGTCCATTTATTTATTTTATTATAAAGTTTATAAGTTATTTTCTGCATATTTGATAACCATCTCAGATATATTGTTTTGCATGAGGGGTTGGATTATTAATGAAGGGGCAGATATATTTTTGCCCTGTTATAAAAAGTCAAGAGCTGCTTACTTATTTTGAAGTGAAATCCTATTGGCTGCTACATCTTTTTTGCAATAAACACAAAGACTGTCTCTAATTAGACCAGCTTGATTTTCCACTAAGTTTTTAGGATAAGAAAAAGATGTGTAATAATTTAATTTTTTCCCCAACTTTAATTCACTTAAGAAAAATATTAATTAGTGGTGTGTTTTTTGGGAACTGCTAAAAAATTAAATGACCACTGTTTTTTTTTTTTTGTTAGGGTAAATTATCGGCCAACCCCCGATGTATGGTCAAATTACGATAAAACCCCTCATATTTGGATAATTACAACCAGTCCCTCAACTATGAATCTTATTACACTTTCATCCTTGTTGTGTCAAATTTTAGTGGAATCTTGTAGATTATGTGGAATTTTCTCCGGTCTGTAGCCGTTTTACACCATTCGAGCTCAACATTTTGAAACAAGATGATCCTAAGAGGTGGCTCTTGGCTTGTAAATATCAGATTATGGTGCATCAGAAACTGCATTTTTTGCACAAAAACGAATACAAACTAGCGAAATTCCACGAAATCTAAAACATTCTGATGAATTTGACAACATACGGTTGGATGTGTAAGTAGATTCATAGTCGAGGGAGTGGTTGTAATTACCCAAACATATGGGGTTTTTTTGTAATTTGACGTTACTTATGGGGTGGCCGTAATATACTCATTTTGTTAATATAATATGTTAGTGAGAAAGTTGTGGTTAAAGAAGTTGTGAAGAATACTTTAGAGAAGATGCTGTTTAGTAATTAGTAGTGCAAGTAGTAATTATCTTGATAAATGTTCTAAGTTCTATTCCTCTGCTACTAATAATAGTACTGCCACCTTCACCACCAACTTAATTATTCCAAAACCCCATAAGTATAATCTCTCTCTCTCTCTCTCTCTCTCTCTCTCTCTCTCTCTCTCTCTCTCTCTGTGTGTGTGTGTGTGTGTGTGTGTGTGTGTGTGTGTGTGTGTGTGTTGAGAAGGATAGCAACATGCAAGACATGTTACAGATGTGGAAAACTGAAAGCGCCATTTTGAATATAATGCTGACTCAAAGATATGCAGTTCTTTTTTGTGATATTTACACGTGGCACATGTAATATTGCAGTTTCTTTTTGCAATAGTTGTTATTCTGTCTAGTCAATTTTTTTTTTAATTTTTTTTTAATATTTTGAAATTCAAATGTTTTAAGGATTGATTCTGATCTAAGTACAAACATGTGGCTGATCTTATATGCAATGGATTAATTGTGCACATTAAAATACTGTGACTATACTATTGGCATCTAGTTCTAGTAACACTACATACATTTATAGAAGTGTGATTCAAAAAAAGAACACACTAGTACAAGTGCAACATGCTCGAATTCAAGTCGAATCTGTCAAATTTGGTGAAATCGAGCTCGAGCCTAGCTTAACTTCCAGCTCATTTTTTTTTTGTTATTATTATTATTTTTATTAAATATTATTTTGTATTATGATTAAAATTTTATAAAAAAGATTTACCCGGAATTACAAACACACATATAAATTGTAGTAAAGATTAAAAAGAAAATAAAACGGCTCATGATATTCTGAACTACTAAAAATGAGCTCAAATCCGAGTTTTTTTGTCATGCTCATCATGAGTTGACTCGACTCGACTCATTTACAACCTTCAATAGTATAAGAATTGGATATAATAGACGTTGGACGAGGTACAATAATTTCAAAAGAACAAAAGGGCCCCGAAATAAATAAGACTTTTTTATTAGTCAATGTAGCCAATGACAAGTTACGAGAATCATGGTCTTAGTAGGATGCCATTTTGGTTTTTTTTTTTCTTCATGGTGATAAAATCACCATCCACCTATTTTGTCTGTCTTTCAAACAATTTATTGAAGTAGTGTTTCGTAAGGGATGATCTAGCGGTTGGAGTAAGTGAATTTATGTCAACTGACTTAAGTTCGAATCTATTTACGAACGGTCGCTAGGTGGTTGGAGTTTGTCACACATAGTTAACCTAATGTGATTTACGTCTCTCGTATGGTTAGCACACTAGTACCCGGGAGTGTAGATTTACCCAATGCACCTATATGATTGGTTGCGTTATTGCAGATCAAAAATAACATCGGAACAATGCTCCACACACATTTAATTTGGAAGATCGGTCAACATTTAAAATTTCGATCGTCTTTTTATAAAATTATGTTTAATTCAACATGTTTCTTGATCAGGGTAGATAAAAAAAGATAAAAGAATAAGGAATTTATGATTATAAGTACACGCATTAGATTATGCTAATTAATCATGCTATCCGTTTTTCGTTCAAAATATTCGTTCGATAACGTCGTAGAATCTTGTGAAACTAATAATTATAAAAAAAAAATAGTTTATATACACTTTAATAATTATGAGATGAGAGCATATGATTCTGGATGTAGGTTCCATGCAAATGCCCTAATTGCAGTTAATTATTAATGGCAAATGTGCATATCAATGAAGAATATCCCACTTTAATGGTAGAAATTGCTCATCTTAAAATTGGATTAGGAGCATCTTTGTTATTATACCTAAATCCATTGATTTAGGATTCAATTGGGCATATACTTATATCAAATACTCTTCAAAATTCTAAATTTTCATTTATTTATTTTAATTTTATTTTTTTGAGTCATATAAATAATGGGCACCAAGAAATTGTTGGCTAGAGCATATGCTTTTTTCCTTTGCATATATTTTGTGCCTTGTAATAAGAGCATGCTGTCGTGGATTTGATTCTGTATGAAGTGTCAAGAAGACAAGAACCACATAAGATAAAAGTACTAATATTTAGAATAAATTTGATTCAATTTGTTGTATGAGGTAATAATTCTTTAGTCTTTTTAACTATAGGCTCGATTGCTGGATTTTTTTTATATTTTTTTTAGTAATGAAAGAACCCTCAACCAACCATGTGAGTGCACTGAGTAGACTATACGCGAGACATGAGTCACGTTAGGCTAACAATTTGTGACAAGCTTCACTTAGCAACCGCTGAGAAAGAGATTCGAACTTGAGTCGCCTGCTGAAATTGATAGAGAAGAAAGAAATTTTCAAATCTTAGGAGAGCAATTTATTTATTTTTATTGACTTTAATAATTTTATATAAGTAATATTAAGTTTAAAATTTATTTATTTTATAAGCGACTATGAAATATATCCGGTCTATTCTATGCTACAGTGGGTGAAAATACACCGATCTTTACCATTCATATGCACATAAACATACACACATCCACATTAGTGTGTGTAAATCAGTGGTAAAAAAATCACCCAATGTAGTCTTCAACGAGTGTAGCATAGAAATAACCAATATATTCATAGCAAAACACCCTGAATAAAATATAATTAAATATATAAGTATGCAACTAGTTTAGGGGAAATGCTGTGGAAATTGACACATTTTGACGGGAAAAATGTAAAAGCATATTTAAGTGGCCAATTACCTTATTATCCTTAAATAGTTATCAGCAAGTGGAATGGGTCAAAGTCCAGGCCCATATTTAAAGTGGGTACATCTTAAATTAATATGGCCCGACCCAACTAAGATTTGACCCATTTAGGTTTTAATGTTGACCAATGTTTTGTCTTTCTAGGCCCAATTAACGGTCATATTCAGGCCCGTTTAAGTTTTCTTCCTTTCGGATAAAATAAGTCCGTTTTAAATTAATTATTTATTTTATTTTCGTTCCCGTGCCTAAAAAGAATGATTAAACAATTGACCTATTCCGACGTTCCATGTAGACCAATCGAGCTTATCAAAACAGGACACGTGGCATCCATCTAGACTGGGTCCCACAAGCCCCCCAAAATAGAAAAAAACCAATGAACACCCTCCACTAAAATATCCCCAAATTCAAAACTGCCGAAGAACACACAAACAGAGTGCAAATCAAAAAACGTTCAAACAATCATCAAATTACAAAGCTTTACAATCACTTCGAATCCCACGCATACATACACACATACGTACGTATAAATCTATACATACAAGTATGCAGCCGCACATACTTCCTGTATCCAATCCCAATACCCAATCATCATCGTCGTCGACGATGAAAACCTCGCCGGCATCAGCTGCAATGCTGATCAGATCTGAAAATGGTTCCGATTCAGCAGCGATGAGGATTTTCATGCCGGTTTCTATTGAGGAGGACAAGAAAAATGAGACGAAACCGTTCATTACGAGAACCTCGAGTTACACGGATGCCGCCGCCGCCGCCGGTGGCGGCGTCAGTGGAGGCAATTCGAATTCGTACCAGCAGAAGAGGCGGCGGCGCGTGGCCAGCGATAACTCCCTCCTGTCACTCACCAACGGCCCTCAGAACCCTCTCCGGGATGAGGTGGGGAGAGACGCCTCCGATACTTATGTGGTTACTCGACTTAGCTTTGAGCTGTTGCGTTATCTTGGGTAAATATTGAATTAATTTTACTGTAATGATATAGAATTAAGAGATCTAACAGGATGGAGAACGAAGGCGCCTGCTCCGTTTTTTTCGACAAAGTTAGCATTATTGAATTGATTCAATTTTATTGGTAAAAATTAACTTCTAAACAATTTATTAGGTTTTTTTTTTTTTTTTTTTTTTTTTTTTAGGGTAGGCTATAGATGGATCACCAGATTTATTGCACTCGGCTGTTATTCGTTCCTTCTATTTCCCGGTTTTCTTCAAGGTTTGCTTGTATGGTTTCAAATTGTATATGCTATACGCTCTACACACTACTGGTTAAACGACACTCGTGTATCGTTACATAAACTAGTATTGCTTTGACATGGTAGCTTGTTTCATTACATAAACTATTTGGCTTGATTCTGTGGCGCAGTTGGATATCATTACTTCTTCTCGAAACAAATACGTAGAGGTATAGTTTACGGAGACCAGCCCAGAAACAGGTGATGTTTTACTTAGCTCTGCTTATCGATATTTTTAGTATCGATTGCAATCATTGTATATAATATATAGATATGCATTTATGTTTTTCGTAGTTGTTTTTGTGTTTTCCTTACCTGACTGAAAAGTTTCGGGCACAGGCTTGACCTATATCTACCGCAAAATAGTGAAGGACTGAAGCCAGTTGTTGCGTTTATAACAGGTGGAGCCTGGATTATTGGGTATGCATTTTCTTATCCTTTCCTTTCGACAACATATTACTAACGCAAATTCTTTAAATTGTACTTTTTCAAGGTACATGTCATTTATAACAGTATTGATCATACATTTCTATTTTGCCATAAAGCTCGTCTTTTTTACATATTCTGACATGCATTTATGCTGATACAGTTATAAAGCATGGGGTTCTCTTTTAGGACAACAGTTGGCGGAACGAGATGTTATCGTAGCTTGCATAGATTACAGGTAACAAAAAAATTGTTTTTATCTTTCGTTGAAATTTTCTGCACGTAGTTTCTATACCGTGTTCATATCGTTTCTTCACATACAACTTAAATTTTGTCGACACGCATTAAAATATACACTTTTGTGCAGGAACTTTCCTCAGGGAACTATTAGTGATATGGTGAAAGATGCTGCCCAAGGCATCTCGTTCGTGTGCAATAATATTGCTGAATATGGAGGTGATCCTAACAGGTAATTAATTAATTCATCGTTTTCCGGGTTTTCTATTACGAGAGGCTAATTTATACAACGATTTAATTTATTTTCACATTTTGTTTTAAAATTAATTAGAATATATGTCATGGGACAATCAGCTGGTGCACACATAGCTGCTTGTGCTCTATTAGATCAAGCAATCAAAGAGGCTGGTGGACAAAAGACTTCTTGGAGTGTTACTCAAATAAAAGCTTATTTCGGTTTATCCGGAGGGTAATTTTTGTCGGATAATACCATACTCTATAAAATCAGCTATTTAATCTAGAATTCACTTGATTTTTTTTAATGGACAGGTATAACTTTTACAGTCTCGTAGATCACTTTCACAGTCGAGGTCTGTACCGCAGAATCTTTTTAAGGTACGATAATTGCTGATTATATACCTAACTTGACAGTCTCCTGTATTATCTCGTTATGAATTTGTTTTACATGCACAGCATAATGGAGGGGGAGGAATCGTTGCGGAAATATTCCCCTGAAGTGCTGGTGCAGGATCCGAACCATAGGGCTGCGGTTTCTCTGCTACCTCCTATAATTCTTTTCCATGGAACTGCAGATTATTCTATTCCCTCCGATGCCAGGTCTCAATCTCATTTTGTTTGATTAGTTAAAGATCAGACATGATTTAAGGTTCCCTTTTTATATAATATTATATTGGTATTCTTGCAGCAAAAGTTTTGCCGAGACTCTTCGAAGCTTGGGAGTTCAAGCAGAGTCGATTTTATACGAAGGGAAGACACACACAGATCTGTTCCTTCAGGTGATATACATTTATTATTTCGAGTTTTCGTACATAAACATGAGAGGGTTTTTTTCCTTTTCTTTTTTTAAATAATAATTCTTTAAATCTACACAAATATTAGGATCCAATGAGAGGTGGGATAGATGATATGTTTCAAGATTTGATTGCAATGATTCATGCTGGAGATTCCGAAGCTCTGGCGAAAGATTCCACAGCGCCTCCGAGAAAGCGTCTCGTACCCGAATTCATGTTGAAATTGGCTCACAGAGTTAGCCCTTTCTGATCACCATTTACTTTTTATTTTTGTAAGCAATTTATAGGAAATACGGATTTTACTATATCTATTTTAGAAGCTAGAAGTAGAACCATTGTTTATATATATAACATATTCGTGTTTTTCGAAGAATTGATTATGTACTATCAGATTTATTTCAACTCAAAGAAAATGAAACATTTTCACTTCTTTTAACTACATAATATCATCGTTTTATTAGGCTAAGCCATCGACGAAAAACGGTTACATAATCACATGCAAAACACTCCATATAATAATAATCATAACATTCATAAAACTTGAAAAAACCATAAGTATGCTGCTTCAGAGAGTTACTCGAACTTCACCCTAAATCTCATTTCTTCCCTCCTGGCTTCGCCCCGGATACCTATAATCGAAAACAGAATATCAATCAGATAATAAGCAAAAAAATATTTTTTCTTACTATTTTTTTCTATTTATGTATATATAAAAACAATCGAGCATATTTACCTTCTTCCTAGGCTCCCGAGGCTTCGGTGGGCCCTGTTTGGAGACGGGGCCTTTTGCAGGCTCTTTCTTGGCCGAGCCAATTGATTGAGGTTTCTCAGCTTTGAATGATGCCATCTTTTTTTTTTAATTCTAAAGAAAACCTTAAAGTTCTGCCTTGATCGATGATCTCGTGTTTTTATTCCCGTTATCGTGTCTCTATTTATATAGGTTTTAGGTTATGTGGATTGCATAACAGATGAACTGTTTGCAACAAATGCCATCCAAGAAATTGGAATAACTCTGCTCTAAGGCCCTCTTTTTTTCTTGATCAGATGCTGCATCAGATGCTTAGCATAGAACTATGCTCGTATAATACTAAGCGTGGAAATTGTAACGGATTTTCCAAATTCCACCGATTTCCGATTTTTTAACAGAATTGGAATAATTATTACATTCCGATTTCCGATCCGGTTTTAATTTTAGAAAATGCCAAAAAAAACAGAATTAACTTATTACATTATAGGTGACTAAAAATTTGAAAATTCCGAATTCCACCGACTCCGATCCGAAAAATTACGATTTCGGATCAAATTTTTTGGTTCCAATTTCCGTAATTGCGAAACAAATTGGATGTTTTTTTTTCTCCCGAAAGTGCTAATTACGATCCGATCCATCTGATTTTAATTCCTATACAATATAATGGAGCATAAATCCTTAGTGAGAAGCAAATCAAATGTAGAAAAACAAGATATTTCAATACACAATGCTCAAAAGAACAATATAGCTTAGTTCCTCAGTCAAGATATATATCTGAAAGAGTTTCTGCATACTAAAAACTACTCATCACTCCCAAAAATCAAGCCGGTCGACAAAAATAACATGGGATCTGGTCCTAAAAAAAACTGCAAAATTTAGAAAAATAATAAATATTTTTCTTCCATATAATTTTCGATCAACCGGTATTCCTCATGCCAGCAGCAATCCCATTTATAGTAATAAGCAAGGCATCCCTCAGTTTATTATTATCATCGTCTCTTCTCAACCTCTTCAATATCTCGACCTGCAACATATTCATCGGATTCAAGTATGGAAGCCTGCTCTCAATCAGCTTCCTCAAACTCCGATTATTTCCCGACAACTTTTCATGTCCGGTTATCAAAAGCACAAACTTTTCCGCCGTCAAAAGCTCTCTCCTAAGCTCCGCCCCAAGTTCTTGTCTACTTTCAGACACCAAAACCTCGTCGTAATGCTTAGCAATAGGTATATCCGCTTTTCCAAGAACCATCTCTATCAAGTCAACCGTCGACTGAAAAAACGGCCACTCCCTGTACATGGCTCGTAAATCTTGACCGTGACCCTTTTCGCAGATGCCCTTTAGACCCGACCCGACTCCGAGCCAAACGGGTAGGACGAATCTGGTTTGGGTCCATGCGAACACCCATGGGATAGCGCGTAGGTGACCGATTCCCGTTGAGGTCTTTCTTCTTGTGGGCCGGCTTCCTATGTTGAGACAGCCTAGCTCGGCTTGTGGGGTGGCTTCTTGGAAGTACGCGAGGAATTGTGGGTTTTCGTAGACTGTGTTTCGATAAGTGGTGCAGCTTATCTTGGAGATTTCGTCCATTAGGTTGCGCCATTTTTGCTCCTTTGGTGGCTTTGGTGGTTTTAAGGTTGCGAGAAGGACAGCTGTCGTGTAGATTTCTAACTGACGGACGGCGATTTGGGGTAACCCGAATTTTGCTTGCACCATTTCTCCTTGTTCGGTTGATCTTAGGGTACCCTGCCATTTTTGAGATCAAGAAAGATGTAATAAATAAGTGATCTTTTTTGCTGTGACTGATCAGAATTGTAGTGTGGAATTGATTCGAAGTGAATAATTCAATCAAGAATGAACGTATAATTGATTCGAAGTGAATAATTCAGTTGCCACAATGAACGTATAACTGAATATATATGAACACGATATTCGATAAAAAATAAATGAAATCTTACCATAACAGAGCCAGGTGGCTGTGACTGAATGGCTAGATGTGTGGGCCCGCCACCACGCCCGATACTTCCTCCTCGACCGTGAAATAGAGTAATCTTTATTCCGTACTTATTGCATGCAGCTACAACATCTTCTTGAGCTTTGTAAAGTTCCCATGCAGCACTAAAACGGCCAGCATCTTTACCCGAGTCGGAATATCCCACCATCACCTTTCCAATTGACGTTCGACTAATGTCAGATTTCAACGAACCACCAAATATTACGATACAGTAGTTATACGTATAGCAAATATATATAGATATACCTCTTGGTGTCCATTATGGTTCTTAACAATATGTTCATAGTACCAGTCGTTCGATAATAGCTTACGGATAACGGGGCCCGCTTCTCTCAAGTCTTTCAAAGTTTCGAAGAGAGGAACAACCCTCAGCCTGTTTCAAGATTAGGGAATATTCTTTTTGTGAGAAGTTAAATTATTTTTATTGCTTGAGTTGAAAAGTTGCAATTTTCTTATAGTAGTGTCTGTCTTACGTTCCACCGGGGCACGGTTTTCCTAGTTCACCAGAAACAGCCAGACGAGCATCTTTCTGCAGAAGCTCCACCGCCAGCACATCGCTAGCCTGTCCGTTTTCAAAAGGGTAAAAACGGCAATTTTAATTATATCATTAAATTTAGCAACATAGTGTAGTTTACATAGTGTTGGCTACAAAAAATCGTACATTGGAGGCCATAGATATAACGTATGCTCCAAGTGAGTCGCTTCCCAATTGAGCAGCTACTCTGAACGTGTCCAATACTTCTTTAACATCGGCCGCAACCTAAAAATGAAAAACAAATAAAACGTCGTTACGTAACTTTATTTATGTTATACGATTTAGGAGTAGTAAAATGCAATTTACCTGTATAGTTGGAGGAACTAGCGGCCGCTTCCCTTTTAGCTCTCTTGTCAGAAAATCGAGTTTCTTATCTTCATCCCAATCACTATAAGTACCCATTCCTAAATATTGCGTTATTGCATCGAGCGTTTCCGAATGTCTAGCAGATTCCTGGTAAATAAAAAATTATGCATGTTAGTTAACAACAGAAATAACTGCCTGTTTTCTTGTAGCAGAATAAAATAAACGAATCGAATCGAATCACCTGACGAAGGTCGAGTTTCATTAGCACCATTCCGAAAGTAGCAACTCGTCTGATTAGGTCAGCCAATCGGCCATCGGCTAAAATCCCGGACCCACACGATTGCTGCAGTACATAAATTACGCCGCGTGTTAAAACAGAATCAATATCGAAATCCATTTGAGAAAAAAAAAAAAGAATTACCAGTGAGTTGTAGCAGAGTAGAAGAGGTTCTAGAAGCTGTTCGGAAGTTTCGTAATAATCTCGTGGATCATATTCACAGGGAAGGTCTTCGAGAAGAATTTCCAGCCGTTTACGTGTCTTTGTTAGCTGAATTTAAATAAAATATAAATTTACGATTAGATACAATCAGGACGTACTAAAGACGAACAAAAGTAGATTCGACATATAATCTGTTATAAGCAGTACCTTTTCTTTGACGTCGCCTAGAACAACTCTGTAAGGAGCAATTCCAGGTTCGTGAGACGAGCTAGGTTCTAGAAGCTTCTGGAAACTGGTCCTACCGATCTGAGATTCGGCAAATTGTTTCCTCTGAGCTAAGAGTTGAGACGAACTAAACGATGGTGTCAAAGCTGACGGAGCATTATTTCCTGAATTGTTAGTATTATTGCTATTATCAAGATTGCTGTCTCCGTTTGTCTTGACGGAATCTTTTTTGGTATCGTGCGTAGAATCTTTGAATATCAAAGAATCCTGACTATCCTGTAAGTAAAAAAGAACACCAATGCATCAAATTTTCAAGAAAGTCGAACAAGCAAAAGAAAATAGTTTTTTTGTTTTTAATTTATTTTTTAACTTTACCTCGCGATGAAACGGCATAAATTCTGATCCAGGAAGATCCAGTCGAGGGTAGTGTTTAACGTCATTACCTGAAAACGAAAATGCGTTAACGTAATATACACACACAATCTATCTATCTATATATATGTATAATGTCTCGAGAAATTAACCTGCACAAGAGGGTAATCCAGCGCCAGGTGGAAGCTGTGACGGGAGAGGCGGCGGATGATTGCTGTTGTGGCTCTTATACTGACCCCAATCCGATCGAGGACTCCGATTTTCATGCCTATCTTCCAATAACTTGTCTGAAAACACGTTGGAGATTGTAATAAGTTCGAAAAAGCTCAAAAAACATTTATTTGTTAAAAAAATGAATCAAGAATGTGGACCTTTTTCTAATATTTCACGAGCCAGTTTCTTTAACTTCACGTCGCATTGGTTCATCGAGAGTTCGAATCTGAGGTTATCAACTTCTCCTAAATAGAGATCGATAGCCATCCACCTCGATAAAAGTGACACATCTCTTGTGACCTAAAAAACAAAGAATAAATGACAAATTACACTAAAATAATTGTTTGGAACATAACCAAAAAAAAAAAAAAAGAGTAATGATATCACCTTTGCTGTCACATTGGGATTTCCATCTCGATCGCCACCCATCCAAGAGCCGAATTTTATCGGAGTGCATGTTAGAGGTAGCGGTTTTCCAGTATGCTGAAAAAAAAAGGTGAAAATTTCTTGAGACCAAAAAATGAGCTAGTTCGAAGATATTTGCATAATGGACGAAAATAACCTTCTTTAGAGCAATGCTGAGACGACGTAAGTAATGAGGTACAGCTCGCCAGAGTGATTGTTCTACGATATTTAGACCTGCAAAGAAAAAAAAGAAGCATTTTATATATACGAGCGAAAAGGGTAAATAAGTTAAAATATATCCAAGCCTATCGAAATGAATTTACCGGCTCTAGCTTCATCAACCGGAGTAGGCTTGTGCCTCCTTAGCTCATCCGTTTGCCATATCGAAGTAAGCTCTCTTACCTACAAAATTCATAGACAATACTCAATATATTATTTTTGGTTTTTTAAATATTCAATATTCAATTTATTCAAAGAAAAGTAGCTACCAGATCTTCGATCAACATTTCTCGATCTTCATGACCAAGATCGGGCCGATCATTATATTCTAGAAGATGCTGCAAACGAATAACAAAGCAAAATACAGAGCAAAATTATTATTTTTTTAATACATAACATAATCACGAAATTTGGTGGAAGGGAATATACCGCGATTCTGATGTGTTTGTACTGCAATGTTCGTCTATTTATTTGCGTGGGATGTGCTGTAAGGACAATTTCAACTTCCTGTGGTAAAAAAAAGCAAAAAAAAAAAAAACAAACCAACCAACATTACTTCACAAATAAATTTTATTTTTAATCGTCTTAACTCGTAAAAACTAGACAGAAAAAAAAATGAGACAAACGATTATCGACCTGCTTGCAAACCGTGTTATATAGTTCGTCCGGGGAAACACCACTCTGCACAAGCTGATTTAAAGTATCGTCACACGACTTCGATAATTGTGAAGAGCTTTGCGCTTTCGTTACTCTGAAAAAAATCGGATATTAGTATATATATACTCTGAAAAATAGTTTGTGAAAACGAACAAAAGTTCGATAATTACCGGTGATGAGTTTCTGCAATTCCGGTTAGGTTTAGATAATGACTGAACGCTCGGGCGAGAGATAGCGCTTCCTCGAGGGTCATTTTCGACAGCATTGCGGCCAATTGTTTCTCGAGAAGTTCTGCTGTGTCTTCAATGCCAGCTGTCCTCATATTGCATGCACTCTACAAATCATGATTTGTGCATCATTAATTAGTATTTGTGTACTAAAAACAAACCATGACATCCATTAAAAAACAGTTTAATTTCCTCCTTAAATAGATGAAAAACACTCCAAAATTAAGACATTATTTAACCATTCACTAGTAACTCAGATAATATTAAGAAAAAATATAGAAACAAAACATTAACCAAATTATTAACAGGGAAACTAAAAATTTAAAAAAAGAAAAATAAATAAAAAATTAAAAAATTAAAAATTTAAAAAAAAATTAAAATAACAGGGAATTATCTAGAAACTACATAGAAAGATCATTAACATGGGATTAAAAACACACACACACAAAAAAAAAAAAAAAAAAAACTTAAAATAACAAAAGATGCTCCAGACATAATAAACGAAATTAAAAATCATTAAACCAAAAAAAATGTATGAAAAATATAACGCTGAAGAAAACCCACATAAATAAAAAAAATATATATAGGCAAGAAAATCATTAAATCATCCACAAACAAAATAATCTATACATTTAATTAAAACAACCAAAAAAAACCCTACGAAATAAAAAAAAATAATAATAATAATAAATAAAGAAAAAACCTGAGCGAGGACTCTGGTTTTTTCGAGCTTTTCCATGAATTCAGGGCCGACTTCTCTGTGAAGAACATCGTTGAGTAGGTTTCCGAGTAATCTGCAGTCATCTTCAAACCCTTGTAACGATATTTCCTCTGCTATATCATCTGTCATTTCCGCCATTTTTTAATTTTTTTTGTTAGAGAAGAAAACACTGTGTGTGTGTGTGTGTGTGTGTGTAGAGTGTGATCGGGAGTGTGAGTTTACTTTTCTGTTTTCGTTTTGTAGGAGGGAGAAAATAGGAGCAGGTGGTGAACGTGGGGCTACGATTGTTTGCCGTGAATATGGAGGGAGTGAGATGATGACACGTGGCGATAGCAGCGAATTTCATGCCAGTGTTTTCTGTCGTCTTTTGCTGGGGTGACTGTGTGTTTTCTGTTTTTGGTGCGTACGTGAATTACTACTCTTTTTTTATTCGCACTTCAGTCCACTTTTCTTTTTTTTTATTACTATTTTCCTCTTTTTTCATTTGTTTTATTTATTATATTTAATGCTTAATTAAATTATTAGGGACTTATCTGCATGTTAGACGCGTGAGTAGGGACTGATTTGCTTGAGGAAACTACCTAGGGACTGATCTGTATTCTGTGTTTTAGATTAGGGATTTATCTGTAGTTTCCCCTTAAATTTATGCATATAAGATTATCTTTCGTATGTAAAACACACGTGGCAACTTACGATTGGTTAATTTGATTGTGTGACTCATAATTGTATTTTATAAACTTTTCTACTTAAATTAGTACATTTGTGATTAGTTAAATTTCATTAATCTAGCAAAATATTAATTTATCATAAGCAATAGATTTGATTTTTTTTTTTTGAATTCAATTCAATTTAATTATTTCTTAAATATTT